TCGGCGACGAGGGCTGGATTCCGGCCACACACTACGTCGTCGCTCCGGACCACACAGTCGTCCTCTCCGACCGCTTTAGCCTCGTCGGCCGCGATCCGCTTCACGGCGGTGGCCGTCAGCGGTGACTTGCGGCTAGCCTCCCCCTTCTCCCCTTACTCCATCGCCCAGCTGAACACGCCCGCATCCGGTGATGCTCCTCGGCTCTGTCGCCGAGGCACGAGGCCACTGTCGCCAGAGCATAACGAATTGTCGCCAATTGTCATGACTATTCCTCACCCTCTTTCCTGCTATCGGCACAAGTAAACCGTCCTCCCATCGCCTCCCATCCCTTCCACCGCCCCAATCCCTGCCATCGCCCCCTACAAGTCGGCCCGCCCGCCCGCCTGCCGAGCCGCGCCCCCCCCCACGACCTCCACCACCACCACCACCACCACCACCACCACCACCACCACCACTCACACACACTCTCTCTCTCTACACACACACACTCTCTCTCTACACACACACACACACACCCTTTCACCTTCCACCTCCCACAACCACACACCCAAGAGTCATGCTCAGACTCATTCCCACGCCCACGCTCTCGGTCACACTGGCCACCGCCGCGCGGAGGCTGACCTCGGACGGCTACCTCCACAAGACCCGCATCCCCACGTACAAGTTCCAGGACTCACTGCCGGAGATCCCCATCCCGGAGCTGGATGCTACCTTGGACAAGTATCTGGAGGCGGTGACTCCGCTGGCGTCGCCGGCTGAGCTCAAAGCCACCCGGGCTGCTGTCGAGGCTTTCCGCGCCGGGCCCGGGCCAAAGCTACAGGCCGAGCTGTTGGCCTCGCGCGAGGGCGTGTACGGCTCGTACATTGCCGATCACTGGCTCGACATGTACCTCGAGTCGCGCGCCGGACTCATGATTCACATGAACCCGCAGCTGACGCTCAAGCCCGATACCCGCGGCCTGGATCAAGCAGAGCGCGCGGCGTCGCTGATGGTCTCGGCTGGGCGCTTCTACCGCACCCTCCGCGACGGCCACCTCAAGCCAGACGTCTTCCCGCTCTCTTCGCTCGGCTCGGCATGGTGGATGAAGGCGTTGGCGGCGATTGGCAAGACTCCGGTGTACGAGACACTGCTCGCCCTTGCGCCGCGCAGCATCGCGTCCAAGCTCGCCCTCGGCGGCGGCCTCGTCCCGCTCGACATGTCGCAGTACGCACACCTGTTTGGAACGACCCGCCTGCCGCGCAAGGACAAAGACGAGCTTGTCTGCGCGCTCAAGCCTGGTGCGCCGGAGCCCAAGCACGTGTCTGTCCAGTGGGGTCACCGGTTCTTCGCGATTGACATCATGGACGACGCCGGCGACGTACTCCCGTTTGAAGACGTGGTGGCAAGCATCCGCACTGTTCTCGCCACCGACCGCACGCCGCCCGGCTCTGCACCGGTCGGCGTCTGCACTTCCGTCGACCGTGACGAGTGGGCAACGACCCGAGAGCTGCTGGCAAACGCCGCGCCGGGCAACGCCGCTGCGCTTGCCACCATCGATGCAGCCCTCTTCAACGTCACCCTCGAGCACACGGCGCCGCGTGACCCGTTTGAGATCATCAACGAGCACATGGACGCGACTGGACTCTCCATGCACGACGCTGTCGCCGAGCTCAAGGCCTCACCGGCCACTGACCCGTTTGCCCAGCTCAAGAGCTTCCTGCACGGCGACGGCACGAACCGCTGGTTCGACAAGTCGTTCACTCTCATTGTCGACGCCGCCGCCAACGCCGCCATCAACTTTGAGCATACCTGGGGCGACGGTCTCGCGGTTCTCCGGTTCTGCAACGAGATCTATGCTGACTCGCTTGCCAGCGAGCCGCGCCCGGCCGCTGACACCGCCAGCATCACCGAGCTCGTGTTCGACACCTCGGCGCCCGAGCTGGCCGCTGCCATCGACTCGGCCGCCACTGCCGCCTCCGACGTCATCAAGAGCCTCGACTACTCGGCTGCTGTCGTGCCTGCACTTGGCTCGACCGCCATCAAGAGCCACAAGCTCTCGCCGGACTCGACGCTGCAGATGGCTCTCCAGCTCGCGTACTACCGCATGCACGGCAAGTCCGGCTCGACGTACGAGGCCGCCGCCATGGCGTACTTTAAGGAGGGCCGGACCGAGACCATTCGGTCGGCGTCCATCGAGTCGGATGCCATGTGTGCCACCTTTGACGACCCCGCGGCGACCAAGGCCGACAAGGAGGCCGCCTTCCGCGCCGCAGTCGCCAAGCACTCTGCGCTGGCCCGCGACGCCCAGACCGGCAAGGGCATCGATCGCCACCTCTTTGTCCTCCGCCGCATGGCTGAAGCCGCCGGTATCGACACCCCTCTCTTCGCCGACGACGTCTACCAGCGCTTCGCGACCATCGTCGTCTCCACCTCGACCCTCCCCGCCTCGCCCGCCCTGGACAAGGGCGGCTTTGGCCCGGTCTCGCCCGAGTGCTTTGGCGTCGGCTACGGCATCACCCCCGACGCCGCCCACTTTTCCGTCACCACCTTTGGCCAGGACACCGCCGCGTTCTGCGCCGCCGTCGAATCTGCCCTCAACGACATCAAGGACGTGCTCAGCTCCCCTTCCCAGTGAATGCTCTAGCCGCTGCTTCCCGCTCCACTGCCCGCCACCCGCCACCCTGCCTGGCACCACCACCACCACAGCCACCAATGCCGCCACCACTCACCACCGCTCACCACCTCTCCCCCCTCCCCTCCCCCCCCCCCCCCAAACCACACTTACCCATACAACTTTTGTATGCAGGCCGAGGTGGAGGCGCCGCTACAGAGGCTGGAGGAGGGGTACGCGTCGGTGGACGCGGTGGTGGTCGTCAACGAGCACGGCTTCCCGTTGCATGCCTCGGGCCTGCCGTCGGCAGGGGCAGCCAACGCCGTGGCCAAGGCCATGAACGACCTCTCGCATCTGGCTCGCAACATGGTCCGCGACATCGAGCCGGACGATGAGCTGCTCTTTCTCCGCCTCCGTTGTGGAAAGACCGAGTGGGTCGTCGGCGCCAAGGAAGACCACCTCGTCGTTGCCCGCCAGAACCTCCGCAAGCTGCACTCGGACATCATGACTCGTGTCCAATCCGACGCAGACGCACAGGCCTCCCATCCTGCTGAAGACTCGCCACACCCGGAGAGGACCTCGCTCATTCACTCGGGCGAGCTCGACGGCCTTGCATCGCTGTAGATGGTGGCCGCCACGCCGCCGATCCTCCCTCACCTAAACGCGCTACTCTTCCAGAGTAAGTTGATTTTACGTTGGCCCCAGCTCAGGACCAGACACACTTGCTTGCGGCTTGTCCGGCTGTGACTTGCCTGAAGCCGACTTGCGAGGCGGCGAGACATTCGTCTTGCGGTGGGCGAGCTCGGACGAGATGGCCACGACAGGCAGTGGCGCAGCAGAGGCCGACTGCGAGGCAAGATCGAGGTACCGGGGCTCGAGCTCGGGCGTGGCGTACACCGCCATGCTGTGCCCCGACGTCATCATGCTGTTGTCATCGTCGGAAAAGTCCGAGACGTCCGAGAGCGAGAACGAGAGCGGATCCGGCTCCGAGCCAACCCGCCGGCGCTGCGGCGGGCCGGGCGACCGCGTCGGCGACGGCACTCGCTGGTAGCCAAGGAAGATGGGCGCCGCACCGAGAGCCGGGTCCGGCGAGGGGAGCCGGCCCGATCCCGGCGAGGACTCGCCCGACGCCATCCTAGCCACAGACGCAGCCCGCTTGACGTGCGAGATCCGGAAGCGGAGCAGGAGCGAGCGGGTGTAGATCTGCCGCTGGTGCTCGGCAAACCGCGGCGACGGCGACACGTACTTGAGGAACCCGTCCCATGGCGTGTCCTTGAGCCCGGCCGCACGCGCAATCGACGACTTGACCGAGTTGGCGAACTGGACCGCCGTCTCGTTGGCCTTGCGCCGGACCGGCGGCAGGTACGTCACGTTCGCCACCACCGCCCACGACGTCATCAGCCGCAGCAGGTGCCAAACAAACGACTCGGCCCGCGAGTTCCAGAACGGGTCCGACAGCGCCTTGTTGTACCGCACTGCAATTGGGCAGATCTCCACGCCCTCCATCGAGAACACACCCTTCTTGAACATGCACACAAACTTGTTGTTCACGCACACGCCCTCCGGAAACAGCAGCAGCGGGTTGCCCGTCGGGTCGCGGATGTACTCGGAAATGGTGGCCGCCACCGCCGCCCGGTCCTTTGCCTGCGAACGCTCGAACCAGATGCACCCGAGGCAGCCGAGCACGTAGTTCTGCAAGAGGCCAAGGACCCCGGTGTGTGCCTGCCCCACAAGCGCGTATAGGTACGCGTCTTGCATCAGGACCGCCACGTCAATGACAGACGTGTGGTTCGCCACAAAGATCTGGTTCGCCCGCCGCGCCGGCCGCGAGCCGTGGAACATGATCACTCCCGACCACGACATCATAAACACAAACGAGAGCCAGCGAATAGCCTGACGCTGCCCGGCTGCGCGCATCGACGCCGTCGGCAGGCATGTTGCCACGGTAAAGAGCGTGAGGAAGACCATAAAGCCCAGCACCACACCAAGCAGTCGGAGCGGGAACAGAATGAGGTAACGCGCCACCAGCCCGAGCAGCCACATCGGAAACAGGTAGACGTTCCAGTTCCACGGCCGCGCCCGATCCGAGTCAAAGCAAAGCGTAAACTCATCCTGCAGCAGATTCTGCATCCCGTGCTTGACAAACGGCAGCGGATCCGTGAGCTCGTAGTGCGAGCAGTCCTCCGAGTACTGTGAGGCAAACTCGGAGAGGAACTGCTTCTCGAACCGCTGCTGGACCTGATCCGAGTCTCCGGCCCTGTTTTCCCCACGCAGTGCACATCCCACCACTATCAGTCCCCACTATCCCGCCGTATCGCCCACCATACCACCGCATCGCCCACCCAAGAGTCGGTCACTATCCACTCACTCGGCGGCCACGTCGACACCACACCTTCCCCCCCTCCCCCCCCCGCCCCCCTCCCCCTTCCCTCCCTCTCCCTCCGCTCCTCACCGTGTCTCCCCTTCTCACGTACGAATGCGAGAACGACCACATGGGCTCTGACTCCTCAGGTGCAGCGGTCATCTGTGCCATGGCCGACGCCCGCTCCAGCAGGTCCAGCAGGTTCTCCGACGAAGGCGAGATGGGAATGGCAAAGTCGCCGAGGGAACCACCGGCAGCAGCTGGTGGCGGTGCCGATGCCCCTGCAGGGGGGAGACCAGACCCATGCGCCGGTGGTAGCAGCGGTTGCTGGAGCGTATGCTGTGGGACAGGATACGGTGATTCGGCCATGGGTGGGTGACCCGACCCACGTCACAAGAGAGAGTGTCGTGTACGGGTGCCCCCCCCCCCCCCCCCCCCCCCCCCCTCGGTCCTCGGCTTCCCCCCCCTCTACCACATTCGCCCATTTCTGTCGCCTGCTGCCGACACCGGGACACGGTGCTGAGGTCACACCCGAGACACCTCCACTGGGACTAAATCGCAACCGATGGCAGAGTTAACTCAGGTGACGGGGTGGTGTGCATTATCGTGGGTAGGATGCCTGTTCATCGTCCAACGGTAGTCACTCTGGTTTGCGCTTGCTCAGCATGGCCATGTGGCCCTCTGAGGCACGGACGACATCATTTTGGTGATCAACTCCAGCATGATCTGGTCCCTCCACTTGTGAACACACTCACTCCATCCCATCGACAGTACAGTATACATCCCCTCCCTACCTCTGATCCAATCCGACATGAGCTGTTTGAGCCCGGACTCCCCCCTTGATCCTCGACCCCGGATCCTGAACCCGCATCTTCACCTCCTCATCATGTGCCCAAACCCGCCACAACGCCGCGACGGTATTACACTCATCAAGATCTCCATCGACAGCAATAGCAGTGCAGCAGCACATCTACACCATCGCACTTGATATCACCATCGCACTTGATCACTAAACCACAGACGAGTCCATGGTCCCAGTCCGACCTGCCTCAGAGCTGGAGCGGATCTGCCCCGCACTGTCTACCTCCATCACCTGGCGAACAGGCGGCGCCTTGCCACACACTTGTCGCTCGTCTCCAAGCCACCCACAGCTACCCACTGCCACCCACTGCCACCCCCCCCCCTCACCAACCACGGACGCCACCGCCATGCAGAGGTGCCTGGCTCTCGCACTGGCATTGGTACTCGGCCTCGCCCTGTGTCTGCCCCCGGTGACCGGAGACAGCCTGGCGTGCGGGCCGCAGAGTACGTGCACGACTAAGACCGGACGACGATTGGAGCGGCGACGATGGGGAGAGGACTGACGGAGGAAGGGAGAGGGGATGGTGTACGTGATGGGTGACAGCTCAGTGTAGCTGTCCTGATGGCGGATGTGGGGCGGCTGGCGCCGAGGCGTGTGCGGCAGGAGTGGGCGGGTGTTGCTGGTTCTTTGTCGATGACGCCGGGAAGGAGCACTGCTCCAACGAGCCGCCACCGCTCGAGCTGGCGGTGACAGGCGGCGATCTGGTACGGACCTGCCGGTGCGTGCTTGACAGCGACAGTCCGTGTGCCGCGTGCAATGCATCGCAGCCGTGTGTCGCCTGCAAGGCGGGCTACAGTCTTATCGCATCGAGCCAGTGCTGTACACTGGTCCCGGCGCCGATTTACGACGACCACAACGACGGCCTGGTGGCGGCCATTGTCATCCCTCTTGTTGTCTTGCTCATGTGTGGCTTGATAATTGCCTACACTCGGCGCGCCACGGCGGCGCCTGGCGACTCGCCGCAGTTTGCCTCGTACACCGCCGTCTACGGCTCGCTGCTCGCTTCCAAAGGTGACGCCATTCAACCGACCTACAAGCGCGTCCGCACCGATTCCGAGTACGCCCACTACTCGCACTTTGCCTCGGTCGGCGCCGACGCCTCCATCCAGTCGCCGGTCGAGCGGTAGCTTAAACCCAGCTCGGCTCTACCCGCCCCCTAGCAGCGGCGCCGACGCCGACCTCGCGCTTTCAGCGTGCTCGTCGTCGCCTCGCCCAGCCACAGCCACTGCGGTGACGTCGTCGACTACAACATCGTCGCCGACGCCAAGCCCGACAATGACCCCGATCGACGCCACCGCAGACACTCCGCCTGCTGCCATCACCATTGCCGAGCCCCATGGGTTGAGCCCGTGTGGGAGTGAGAGAATAACAAAGCCGACGAGCGCGGCCACCATCTCGGGCGCAGCCTGTGACACGTTCATGATCGCCATCAGCAGCCCTTTGTCTGGCATGGCGTCGATGACAGAGCCGGCAATCGCCCAAGGAATCGTCATGGTCACCGCCCAGCACCAGCCGAGTAGGATGAGGCACGCCATGCCGCCTGCCTGCACCGCCGCCGTGGCGCCGACCGCGTCGGCTGCCACGGTCACGCCCAGCGTGCCAAACAGGCACACCGCCATGACTGCCTGCGACGAAATGTACACCGCCTTGGTTGACGTCGCAGCCATGAGCCACGGCAGGAACGCAGCCGTGTACGGTGTCGGCGTCGTGGCCGCCAGTGCAAAGATCGCCTGCAGCGCCAGTGCAAGGTTGCCACGCCGCACTCCCTCATCATACCGCTCCCGTCCCGCGCTGCCTTCAGGTGCCGACGGTGAGCCACCAAACACCCGCTCGCCCATCCACGACGTGGCGTAGATAAAGGTGGTGAACCAGGCGATCCAGGTGAAGCACTGGACGTAGAAAGCGTGCCGGAGTGGCGCGCTGGCGCCTTGCCAAGCCCGCCACGCCTCGGCCATTCGCGTCCGGAGCGAGAAGCCGCGTTCAGGCTGCACCACGGCCGCCACGTCGTCCGCGGGATCAAGCACGCCCGCACCTACCCGGCTCGGTACTCCGCGCCGTGCGCGCCGTCTTAGCTTGTCGCGCTCGCGCATCGCAAGTGTGAGCGGAACCTCATGAGCAGTCGCCGACGCAAGGATGACGCAGCAAAAGACCAACGCGCCGGCTACTGCGTAGAGGGCGCGAAGGTTGTTGCCGAAGAAAGGAAAGATCGCCACAATGTCTGCCGCCGCCAGCGCAGCGCCGAGCGCGTTACCGAGGCCGGCCATGAATCCGAACCACGCGTTGGCCGTCGCTTGCTGTGACGGCGGAATGAGATCGGTCATCAGTGTTCGTGTCGGGCCCTGGAACGCGTTGACCGCAAAATCCTGCAACCAAAAGCCAGTCACCGCAAGCGAGAGCGCCATCGGGCACCGGCTGCTCACAGGGCGAGTGCCCTCGGTACTCGATCCGTTGATTTGTGGGATGAACTCGACCGCGCACGCGTGGATCGGCTCGCCAGCCAACGCCGCGCCAAGCGGGGCCGCCGCCGCAAACAGCGCCATGGCAAAGAGGGTGACACCGAGAGCAGCGAGCATGAACGGCCGGCGGCGGCCGAGCCTCGCCGTGCACCTGTCCGACAGCACACCCACAATCGGCTGGACAACGGTACCGGACAACGGGCCGGCCAGCCATGCTGCAGACACCAGCGAAGCAGGCATGCCCAGCTCCAGAAAGGTCTTGGTCGAGATGCCGATCTGGATCGACCAGCAGACCTGCGCCCCACACAGCGCCGCCGCCACGCACGCCACCCGCCACCCGGCCAGCCGCGCCTCGCCTGTCGCCTCTACGCCACGCTCCCAGCGCCTGCCGACACTGTCATGGCTCTCTCCACTCCCGTCCACACCGACATCTGCCTCTCTATGTCTGCTGCTCTCTCCCTCCATCCCTTTAGGGTAGGTCGCCGCTCTTCCACCGCTGCTCCGTTCCGCTCCGTTCGGCTCCGTTCGGCTCCGTTCGGCTCCGTCGCGCAGAGTGCGGTGTTCGCCAACGCCGTTGGCGGCCGGAACGGCAGCAAGGCAGGCAAGGCAGCACGCCAATGAGCCGGCACTCGTTTACTGATAAGAGCCAGGACCCACTACACAGACAACTTAGCTGCACCAGAAGCCGCCGCAGCCTCGGATGCTGCCGCTAGTGACCGCATATGGGTCTCGAGCGAGCTCAGCGTCTGCTCCAGATCCCAGTTGGAGGAAGGAGAAAGTCGAACAGCCAGATGACAGTTCCAGCACCATCCCAGCCTGTGCCATCCATGGCAAGCCCATCTGTACGCTCATCAGCACGCCCAGTCCCATAATCATGCTCCCAAGTATGATCCTTACCTATGTCCCTTCCTAGGCCCATAAAGTAGCTAGCCGATACCTTCCCCCCCCCCCCCCCCCCCCCCGCCCTTCCCCTCCTCAGACCCCTCGCCAGACCCCCTCACTTGCCACTCATTCGAATGAGCGACTTGATTCGTTTCGTGGTGGCAAGCTGTCGGCCAGTCACCTCGGCACGACAGCCGTCGGTCGTGGAAAGGCGGCAGAGCAACTGACCTGACTGCCTTGCGCTTAAATAGTTAATCAGAATGTCCAACAACGAGCTCGCCTGCACCTACGCTACCCTCATCCTCCACGACTCCGGCATGGAGATCACCGTACGCCTTCTGTCCCTCTCACGACCACCTCTATTCTTTCTTCTCCTCTCCCTCCCCTCCATCCCCATCCCCCTCTCCATCCCGTCCTTGCACTCCTCCGTCTGCTCTGGGGATGACATTTGTATGATTGTCCACAGACACTTCCATCCTGTTCCACAACCACCCACAGTCACCCACACACACGCTCACAGACATACTAACCTACTACTCACCATCTCATCACATACCCTCCTGCCTCCCCTCTCTCTCTTCTCGTTCACAGGGTGACAACATCCAGTCCGTCCTCGACGCCGCTGGTACGTATTTTCCCGCATCTTTGTCTGACAAACCCCCCCCTCCCCTCCCCCCCCTCCCCCCCCCCCTCCTTACATACCCCCCTCCATGCCGCACGTTCCCTCCCCTCCCTCGCTCTGTATCGCATACCCACTCACGCACTCTGGCCTCCTTCCCCGTATCTTTGTTGTTGCTACTGCAGGTGTCGCCGTCCAGCCGTTCTGGCCGAACCTGTTCGCCAAGCACGTTGCCTCGCTCAACGTCGGTGAGCTCATTGCCGGCCTCGCCTCGGCCTCCCCCACCGCCGCCCCGGCTGCCGCCGCTGGTGACGCCCCGGCCGCTGCCGAGGCTGCCCCGGAGGCTGCCCCGGAGGAGTCGGACTCGGAGTCGGACATGGGCTTTGGCCTCTTCGACTAAGCCCCTACGTGGTGTGCCTCATTGAACGCGCCCAGGAGCAACCCCCCTCGCACACATACGCACACGCAGCAGCACACACACACACACAGCCCCATCACATGTCGTCATCCCCATCTTGTGCCCTCTGCCCGTCTCTTGCCGCACGCTGTGACGCATCACCACGCCACACCCAACTCCCCTCTCCCCCCCCCAACCCCCCACCCCACTCCCCACACGCACTATGCCGCCCACCCTCGTCGCAGTCGGCTCGGGAAACCCAGTCAAGGTAGCTGCAGTCTCTGCTGCCTTTGCCGCCTCCTTTCCCGCAGCATCGCCCACCGTCGCCGCCTTTCCCGTCCCCTCGGGCGTGCCCGACCAGCCGCTCGACGACGAAACTACCCTGACCGGCGCCCGCAACCGTGCCATCGCTGCTGCTGCTGCCGCCGCCGCTGCTCACGACCTTCCTGGAGGCGCAGATGATGCCGTGCTCTACGGTGTCGGCCTCGAGGGTGGCATTGCCACCACCGGCGAGCTCATGGAGTGCTATGCGTGGATGGTCGTCGTCGAGTGGGACGCCACCGCCGCCGCCCCGCGCCGCTCCGGCGAGGCCCGCACCGCCTCGTTCCAACTTCCGCACACCGTCGCCAATCTTGTTCGCGCAGGCATCGAGCTCGGTACCGCAGATGACATCGCTTTGGCCGCTACGACTCGAAGCAATCCGATGGCGCCGTCGGCCTGCTTACCCACGGCCTCATCGATCGCACCGCCTACTACGAGCACGCCCTCAAGCTCGCCCTCGTCCCGCTCGTCAACCCGGAGCTCTTTGAGAGCACGTCCTCCCCCGCCGCCCTCGCCTCCACAGTCACCATGGTCCGCCCGGCCGCTTTTGCTGCAAACCCAGAGACCGCCGCCTCAAACGTCTTCCAGGCCTCCATGGACGGCCTCGACGACACCGCCGTCGCCGCCGTCGCCGCAGACGCCAAGGCCGAGTTTGACGCCATGGTTGCCGCCCTCGTCGCCGCGGGTGTCACTGTCCATGTTGTGGCCGACTCGCCCGAGCCGCACACCCCGGACGCCGTCTTTCCCAACAACTGGTTCTCCACCCACGCCCCGCTCGCCGACGATGACGCCCCGCAGGTCGTCATCTACCCCATGGAGTCGGCCCATCGCCGCAAAGAAGTTCGCATGGACTTCTTCCCGCCCTCAGCCCGCATCCTCGACCTCCGTCCCCAGCTGGACGCCGCCGACACCGTCCTCGAGGGCACAGGCTCCATGGTCCTCGACCGCGCAAACCGCATCGTCTACGCCTGCACCTCGTCGCGGACCCATCCAGACACGCTCAACATCTGGGCCTCTGCAAACGGTTACGACTCGGTTGTTGCCTTTGACGCCCGCGACGCCGCAAACAACGCCCCCATCTACCACACCAACGTCCTCATGTCCGTCGGTGCCTCATTTGCCGTCATCTGTCTTGACGCCATTCCGGACCCTGCACATCTCCGCGCCGTCTGTGTCTCGCTCGCCGAGTCAGGCAAGGAAATCATCCCCATCTCACACGCTCAGATGGAGCACTTTGCCGGCAACATCCTCCACCTCGCCACTGCTACCGGCTCGGTCATCGTCCTCTCCACCACCGCTCACGCTTCCCTCGATGCCCACACTCTCTCCCGCCTCAGCGCTCACTGCTCGGCACTCGTCCCGGTCGCCATCCCCACCATCGAGCGCTACGGCGGCGGCTCTGCTCGCTGCATGATGGCCGAATGGTTCCTCGACTCACCGCCGGTCACAAAGTAGCTCCTTCTCGTTTACTTCTTCCGCCGGCCCTCCAGACGAGGCGCTGACCCGCGCCGCGGCTTCCGCCGCGCCTCCTCCTTGCTGCTCGATCCGCAGCTAAACTCACCAGACTCCTCCTTGCCAGGCTTGTCGTCGCTTCCTTCACTCGGGCCACCAACGGTGCCGGCCTCTTCGTCGCCGTGGACATTCGTAGACGCCGTCGACGAGCCCGAGCCCGATACGGAGCCTGAAGACCCGGGCAACGGTTTTGTCGCCTTGTCCGCCACATAGGCGCCTGGCGCCACGGCGGCCAGCGCCGTCGACCCGCCGTTGCCGCCGCGCCTCACCTCGATGGCCCGGTATCCAAGGACCACGTACATCGCAATGACCTTGATCGGATCCATCAGCAGCCAAGAAGTTGCCAGACCAAGGCCCAGCACAAACCCAGCGCTCCAAGATTGAGCTCAAAGCCGGGCACATACAGTGGAAGCGTGACCACAATCACCCCAAGAGCAGCCAGCGCCGCGTTGAGCGCCACAGCAATTGCGCTCTGCCCACGCTTCAGCGCCCACCGCACCATCGGCACTCCGAGCACAATAGACATGAGCAGCGTAACCACGTTGATGAACACCATGTCCAGCAGCCGCTCCAGCGAGACAGCTTCAGATTCTGACGCAAACGACTCGGGCTTGAGCATCTGCAGGCACGCGGTGACCAGGAACATCATCGCGAGATGGAGGCTGAGGTTGATGACCCGCGCCACACGCCCAAACACATCATCCTTTCCGCTCACCACAATGCCAAACACCATGTGGTTCCGCAGCACATACTGGTCCAACCCAAGTCCGAGCCACTTGTCCGGCTCGCGCCGGTACTTGCTCAGGTTCTTGCGCCGCTGCCGGACGCCAATCATCAGCATCCACACCGCCGCAGCACCAAGCATGTACATCGCAATCGCGCCCGTCGATGCCGCCCCAGACGTAGGCAGTACGTTATCGTTGACCGCAGACCCGCGGTTCGGCGCCGGACTCGGCGAGCTTGCCTTGAGAGCCCAAATGTTGACCACTGTAAAGTTGCCCATTGTGGCAGTCTCGATCCCGCCATGCAACCGCGTCACCTCGACCACCACATCTGCAACGTACGACGAGTTGCTTGAAATCACCTCGTCAGGCAGCTCGCCCACCACACACTGCAGCTCGCGCCCGTGCGACGACACCAGCAACTCGCACCCCACGCTGCCGATGCTCACTCGCGACACAAACCGTGAGCCGAGCGAGGGGGGAAGAGAATATGCCCCTGTACCTTCTCTCTTTGACTTCCTCCTGCCCGCGTGGGCAACAGCCGTCACCACGGAGAACTCCATCAAACCACACTCGCCAGAGCCAGACGTACCAGGAGGAGAGTCCGAAGGTGAACGGTGGGATGACGGAAACAGATAGGGAGATATAGGGGGATGAGGAGGGGGGACCCGTTGAGGTGGTTTTGTTATTGCTCTGGAGGGAGTGGCCTTGATGGTGGTTGTGCTGATCTGCGGGACCACCACGATGTTTGGTTTGACAGCGCGTGTTTAGGCCCGCCACCGACCGCAGGCCGCTGGCCGCCGGTCGCTGGCCGCTGGTCGCAGGCCGCTGGCCCCCCGGACGCCATTTCGCCACCCTCGTCTCGACTTCTCGGCCAAGATGAAGTCCAAGGTGCTGCTTATGGGCAAGTCGTCGGCCGGAAAGACGTCCATGCGGTCCATTATCTTTGCCAACTACATTGCCCGCGACACCATGCGTCTTGGTGCTACCAGTACGTTGCCTGTGAGCTGGTGTAGCAGGCAGAGGGGAGGGACAGGGACACGGGACCGAGTCTGGCGATGTTGGCCATAATCGAACGTGTGACTTGCCGGTCTGACGGCGAGGGATGGGCATGGGCAAGGGCAGAGAGAGGGGCGAAGAGGGCAGCAGAGGAGGTGATGGAAGTGAGTTTGGGGAGTGAGGGGGGCGCAGGAGGGGGGGGGGGGGGGGGCTGGCAGGCACTTATGAGGAAGCTGTGTTGACCGGGTTGGTGGTGACGTGACGGGCTGGTGGCGGTGGCGGTGGTGGTGGCGGCGACGGAGCAGTCGATGTGGAGCACTCGCATGTCCGGTTCCTGGGCAACCTGGTGCTCAACCTTTGGGACTGCGGAGGACAGGCGTCGTTCATGGAGAACTACTTTACGTCGCAGCGGGAGCACATTTTCAAGAACGTGGAGGTGCTCATCTACGTGTTTGATGTGCAGTCGGACACCAAGTCGGACGACATTGCCGAATACACGTCGTGCCTGGAGGCCATTCGCGAGTTCTCGCCGGACGCCAAGGTCTTCTGCCTGGTGCACAAGATGGATCTCATTCCTGTCGACCAACGCGACGCGGTGTTTGCCGAGCGGTCCGAGGAGCTGCAGGTGCTCTCGGAGGGCCTCTCGATCGCTTGCCACCCGACGTCGATCTGGGACGAGACGCTGTACCGGGCGTGGTCAGCGATTGTGTACTCGCTCATTCCGAACATCTCAGTCCTCGAGGCGCACCTAGAGAACTTCTGCGAGATGTGCGAGGCCGACGAGGTGGTGCTCTTTGAGCGTGCGACATTCCTGGTCATCTCGCACGCCACCCGCAAGACTCACCACGATGAGCACCGGTTCGAGAAGATCTCGAACTCACTCAAGTCGTACAAGCTCTGCTGCTCCAAGTCGATGACGCAGTTTGACTCGATCGAGATCCGCAACTCCAAATTTGCAGCCTTCCTCGACAAGTTCACCTCGAACACCTGCATCATGGTCATCATGTCCGACCCCACAGTCTCGCCCACCGCCATGGACATCAACATTCAGGTGGCAAAGTCGCACTTTGAGGCCTATGTCTCCATCCGCAAGTAAACCCAGTCCCAGCCCACGTCCAGCTGCGCAGGCTGCAGTAGTGGCAGGTGCCGTCACAGGCACCATTTGTCTCGGGCCCAGTGGCCATGATTGTGCTGCATGTCACGTATGCTGGGGTAAGTTGCTGAAGAAGGAGGGGGGGGGGGGGGGAGAGGGGGGAAGGTAAGCCTGCCTGTCCCTCTCCTCCCCCCTTGCCTCCTCGCCCACCTCCTCCCTCCTGCGCTCCTCGCCTCCTCCCCCCGTCCCTCTTCATCCCCTCAAACTCATCTCTCTCGCGCTCTCTGTCTTCCCCCTCCTCCCCCCCAGACCACACGCAAGATCGGCTTCTCGCCGGCGTCGTCGCCCGAGACCATCACCCGAGCAGTGCTCCGCCGCTTTTCCCTCCCGATGGATACCGAGTTTGAGCTGATGTGGGAAGACGTTGGGTGTGCTGTGGATGCCGGTCTCGATCCATCGCTGTCGTATGTACTGGAGATCGTGGACTCCACCCCGGCATCGGTCGCTGCTGCCGCCATCACCCCGGACCCGGCCCCGGCCCCGGTCGCTGCTGCCGCCATCACCCCGGACCCGGCCCCCGCTGCCGCCTCAACCATCATCCCGGACCCGGCCCCCGCTGCCGCCTCAACCATCACCCCTACCCCCGCTGCCGCCTCCACCATCACCCCTACCCCCGCTGCCGCCACTTCCGCCACCCGCTCCCAACTCGCGGATGCCAAGACCGAGGCCGCGCTCGTTGCGGCGCTTTCACCGAGGCCGCGCTCGTTGCGGCGCTTTCAGACATGCGTGATGACATGACAACCAAGCAGGCCGACGCTGCAGACGCTGCAGCCCGCATCATGTCTGAAGTCGATGCCCTGCAAGCCATTGTCGACGATCCCATCGCCTTTGATGCCGCTCGCCCGCAGGATCTCATGAAGGACGCATCAAGCGTCCTGAGTCTTGCACAGAACCTCGCAGAAGCCCTTGACTCGATGTCCAGCGACTTTCAGTCCGCACAAGGCGACATGACTGCGTTTGCCAACACCGCATCGGCCTGCACTGTGCCTGCCAATGCCACCACGGCCGCTACTCCGCAACCTTCGGCGCAATCCTCGGCCTCATCATCTGCACCCAAGAGCAACAAGAACAAGAACTCCAAGAACTCCAAGAACTCCAAGAACTCCAAGAACTCCAAGAACAACAAGAACAACAAGAAGCGCAACAGGCGCAACCGCAGAAAGTGAACGGCACGGAGCTCATGGCTGAATCGATTGCTCACCCTTCCTCCCCCCCCCCCTCCCCTGCGATCACAACACTGCTTCCGGCCCGCGCCGGCCCAAACCTCGCAGCCCGGCCCGCCGCTACGCGTTGGCCACTCGCCATCAGCACCCACTCCAGCATACACCGTCTTCACATTTGCTATCACCACCATCACCCTCGCTCATCGATCGCGAGCAATTGCCAGCCGTCCGTCGCCGGCCGAACAGCGCTCGACGACTCCAGCCACCCAACCGACAGAGGACTGCGAGACTGCGCGACGCAGCCATGGCCACTGCACGCCACCTCACCACCACCCATGTCGACTCTCTCCACGGCGTCGTCGAACATTGACAGTCCGTCGACGCCGCTACGGGCAACAGACCTGGACACTGGCCCGCAGCCGCAGCTGGAGCCGGCGGTAAAGCCGAGCGCCTACAGCCCGCGCCCGTCGGCGGCCTGGGGCGTGACCACCGAGGCTGCGCTGCTCTCGACCCGGCTGGACGGCAAGCTGCAGGCACTGGCCGACGAAACTGCTCGTGCCCAGGAGCGGCTGCATGCGTTCGGCACTCGCCGTCCGGCGGAGACCTTGGAGAGCGCACGAACCGCTCGCCTCGGCGCCGCAGCTGCTCTGCACACCGAAGAGCTGGCCACGGCACAGGCAGCGGCGGCGGCGGCTCGAGCCCAGGCCCAGGCACTGGAAGCGCGGGTAGCAACCACCGAGCATCGTGCACGTACCGCCAATGCCCATGCGAAACAGACCATCGCCGAGCTAGAGGATGCGCTCGAGGCCAAGTCGGATTACGCCGAGCGGGTGCTGCAGCAGCTGGTGGCCCTCGCCGACCAGTTGCAGGTGGTCACCGCCGAGAAGGAGGGTCTTGGCGCCACGCTAGCGCAGACAGAGGCCGAGCTCGAGCGAGTCATCGGTATCGTGCAGGAGGTCCACGGCCGGATGCGTGCAGAAGCCGCACAACGCGATCAGGACGCACTCGCCGCAGACGCGCAGATCGCGCAACTCCGCGCTGCACACGACGAAGCACAGGCTCAGATCGCCGAACTCCGCGCTGCACTCTCCGAGACGTGTGCACAGGTCGACGAGCTGCGGCAGGCCGAGGCCGCAGCGTCAGCGCACGTCACCGGTGCCATGGCTGCCCACGAGACGGCCAAGGCGCTGCTCGACGAGTCCGAGGCACGCATTGCAGAGCTCGAGGCCAAGAACTCCGAGCTGGCCGAAGCGGCCAAGGATGCCCAAGAAGCGTCGGCCCAAGCCCAGTCTGAAGCCAAGACCGAGAGTGCAGCAACTCGGCAGGCGCTGACGTCGCTCGAGGCTGAGCTCAACAGGGTGCTCGCCGAGCACGCGGCATCTCGTTCCGAGACTCAGGCCCAGATCCAAAGCCTGGCGTCCGAAAAGGCTGAGGCACTGGCCGAGCTGCAGGGCGAGCGCATGCGGGTAGTGAGTCTCGGCGAGCAGCTCGGCCTCACCCGCAACAAGCTTGACGAGGCTCTCGGGCGGGTTCGCGCGCTGGAGGAAGCCCAGCTGGGATACGCCTCTCGCGAGTCTGCTGCGCGGCAGTCGGCAGACATGTTGCGAAGCCAGTTGCGGGCGGCACGCGAAGCTGCCGACGAGGCTAAGGGCAACGCGCGGACTACCGAGGCCCGGCTAGAGACCCAAATTGCTGACTTGCGGGCACGGGGTGCGCAGCACGAGCGCGACACCGCGGCGCTGCAGTCTGACCTGGCGGCGCGATCAGCCGAGGTCGAGTCACTGCTAGCGCAGCTGGCGGCGGCGTCCAACGAGTCTCGGGCTGCGCAGGAGCTGCTCGCCAAGCGGGACAGCGAGCTATCCGAGTTGGCGGCAGCCAAGTCGCGGATGGCTGAGGGCAACAATGCGCTGCAGCGCGAGGTGGCTTCGCTCACCTCGCAGATTGGCGAGCTCAAGGCTGAGCTGGGCCGGACACGTCGGGCCCGCGATGAAGCCACCGCCAGCTTAGGCGTCATGCAAGGCCAGGTATACGAGGCCCAAGGCCAGATCTCGACGCTCAACTCAAAGCTGAGCTCCGCAACTGGTATGATCGAACACCTCAAGTCGGAGCTGGGCGAGGCCGCATCGCGTGAATCTGACGCCAACAGCCGCGCTGATGCCGCCCAGGTGCAGCATGTCGAGCTGGTCTCGCTCACACACGAGCTCGATGCTGCAGTCCGGTCGTTGCAGGGCCAGCTTGAGGAAGCGCGGGCAGCCAATGCTGAGTACGAGGCCAAGGAAGACGAGACTGCCAACGTTTTGCATACTTACCGTGAGCAACTTGACGCTCTGCAGGCCGAGCAGTCGGAGCTGATGGCGGCGGCGACAGAGGTCGAGCACCGAACGGCCGCCGAGCTGGACGCCGCAGACATCCGGACCGACGACTTGGAGCAGCAGGTCACCGCGCTGCAGCGGGACCTTGCCGATGCCACCACTCGCGAGACGCAACTGTTGGGCCGACTCCGCTCGGCCGAGGCCGAGCTTGCAGAGCAGGCACCGCTTGTTGCCGAGCTCGAGTCGCTCCGCGCGCGCATCACCGCGTCGTCGGATGTCGGGCTGGCCGGTTCGCCGCGCCGGAGCTCGCCGTACCGGCGCGGCCCACTCCGCGGCGGCCCGTCGTCGGTCGAGGCTGCGCTTGACGACCTCTCCACCCGCGTCCACTACCAGCTCTCGACCAATGCGGGGTACCGATGAGGTGCAGAAGTGCCCTGCATTTTATCTGCGACGGCGCAGCTCGTAGTCTGCGGTAAGGGTAAACGGGAGCGAGGCAAGCGGTTCGACGACGGCCACCAGCGGCTGGACATAGGCCGAGTCACCGAGAAAGGCGGAGCCCGCGTTGTAGTGCTTGGCGATGACGGCGCCATTTGCGGCGAGGACAGCCATCCAAATGTCGAGGTAACGAGCATTAAGACCGAGCGCAATGAGAGTGCGGAACATCATGGACGGGTTGTCGCCCTGAGCCGAGCCGGCAAGCGCGGCAACAGTGTCGTGGAGCGCGAGCGCGGCGTCGTTGTCGGCGTAACCCATGCGGGTGAGCGAGGCTATTGAGCACGCGTCGGTGATAAAGTCCCAGAACCGGTACTTGCGGAACCTGCGTTTGAACTTGAACTCGTGCGCAAAGACGTATGCGAGCGCGGCGCACAGCTCGCCGCGGACCAGCGAGACAATCTTGCGGTTGATGCTATCGTCGCCGGCCTCGAGCGCGGCGTCGGGCTGGCCGACGACATCGGCGTCAGCAAAGTGCGCAATGAGTCCCGAGACGGCCGTCGAGACCTTGGCGAGCAGTTCGTCCTTGGGCTCGAGCCCTGACGGCGAGCTGGGTGTAAAAGGCGCGGTGGCAGGTGAGCCGGTGGAGGCAAGCGCAGCCACTCGCGGCGGAGTGGCGGGCTCGAGTGGGCTCGCCCGCAAAGGGTGCTGCTCGCCACTCGCGTCGTCTGACAGCCATCGCCGCCAAGCAGCGTCCGACTCAGAGGGGAACAGTGTGTCAAAGATGCGAGCCGAGTCGACGCTTACCCCAGCAGCGAGAGCGTCGCCAGGTGCAAGATGGGTGGAAGCCGGGAGCGAGAAAAGGCTCCAGTCGGCGAGGTCGGGATCAAACAAGGCGACGAGCTGCGGGGCAATGACAACAAGCTGCGACTCGCCCGAGGCGACCACGGTTTCGAGCGAATGAATCGAGAGGGTGTAGGGCGGGAGCTCAGCCCAAGTCTCTGGGGTCAGGTTCCAGCTCTCGTCGTCAACGTTCCAGCTCAGCGCAAAATCGCCAAGCGCGAGCGAAGCAACGCTCGGGGCAGCCGATCGGCCGCCAGCGGTGTCGGGATCGTGGCTCGCGTCACAGCCGCCAGGCAGGCTTGCGTCGACGTCTGCTGGCAGAGCAATTGCCTGGGCGTTGATGAGCGAGATGAGGCGGAGGCAAGAGGGAGACGAGACGTCAAGGCCGCCGCTGGTGAGTGCGCCCAGGATCGGGAGCCAGAAGCTGTCGTCAAGCACGTCAGAGCCGCGCTCGGAACGGAGCCGGCCGTGACCGGCGGCGGCAGACAGAGTCGCAGCGCGCCGGAGGCGACAGAGGTGAAGCTCGGCAGCCTCCAGCGGCGATGGCGGCGGTGGTGGGAGTGGAAGCGCCGACGAGCTCGTCGAGTGGGCACCGTCAGGGGTGACTGGCGGCAGTTCCGAGGCTTCTGCAGAGCCTGGCGGGACGAGGGCGACGAGCTGGTCCGCGGCTGCGGAGATTTCCGGGGTGAGGACCCACTTGCGACGCGCAGGACGGGCCGGCACCGACACGGCAGTCGCAGTTGCGGCAGCCGCAGCAGCGGCAGCAGCAGCAGCAGCTACCGATGGCGAGATGGCATCGGAAGACGAGAGCGGGAGGGAAGTGTCGTCGTCGGACGAGACCCTGCCTGCCTCGCCACTCTCCACCTCGCCATCGTCGCTCCAAGGGGCTTCGCCGGGGGCGGCAGACTCACGCTGGGCAGCGTACCACGCTTTTGTCTTGACGAGGGTCTCGAGCCACATGCGCATCTCATCAGGCGAGGAGGCGAGGAGTTCGTAGACTCTGGCGGTAGTTGCGAGCTCAAAGCCGCAGCCGCGGTACTTGGAGGAGGTCGTGGTCTTGGAGATGCGAAACTCGCTTACCTCGGCCAGGCCGATAGACGAGGTCGGCTGCTCGTCGTCGGCGTCCTTGTAGTAGTAGAGGCGATTGTTGCGGAGCGCAAAGTAGCGCTTCTTCCAACGAAGGGCAAAACGGTTGGTAAGGGCAGAGGCGACCGATGAGGTTTGCTCGCCACGCTTGAGTAGGTAGCCGGAGAGCGGAAGCGGCGGGGCTTCAGCGGCCGACTCGGCGTCTGCGTCCGAACCATCTGCCACGCCGTCGTCGGAGCCGTTGGTAAAGTGCTGGGCATCTGGTAGCGAGCCCGAGCTTGAGTCATCGAGGTCGACCCAGTCATCGTCGTGTGACGAATACTCGTCACCGAGATCGGCAAGCGCAGCGCGGAGCGAGTCTTCTGGGACAGCGGAAACAACGCGGCTGCGAAGGTCGTAGTAGTAGGTTTTGGCGGTGATGAGGCAGCGGACCCACTCTTCCTTGTCGGCCGGACTCTCAGCCATGAGCTCGTAGGTTCTGTCGCGGGTTACGATCTGAAAGCCGCAGCCCTTGAACTTGTTTGGCTCCGCGTTTGAGTACGCCTGAAAGTGCAGGACATTGCCGAGGGAGATGTAGGCGATGTGGTCCGGATCAGACGGCTCGTGGAAGTAGTACAGGCGATTCTCTTGGAGGCGGAACCAGCGCTTGCGGTAGCTTCTGCGCCAGCGCTTTGCGCCCTTTTTGTGGAGCCAGCCGCTACGCTCAGCCGGCGGAGCATCGTCGGCCGGATTGGCGGTAGTGTTCGGTGCATCAAAAGAGATCCAGGTAGAGTTGACGCGCTCCGTGCGAGCTGCGCGCCGAGCACGGGCCTTGGCAGCGGCAGAGGCGAGTGCGGCATCGTCGGGTGAGCCTGCGCTTGCAGCCGACGACTTTGTCGATCGGTTGCGGCTTGGGACGGTCGGAGCACCCGCCACCAGGGCGACAGCAACCTCAGCGGCTGCGCGTGTGTTGTCGATGGAAGCGACCCGGGTGGAGCGCGAGCGAATCAAGGAGTTGGCGCGAGTTTGGGACGAGGAAGTGGACTGGGTGGAGTGCTTGGCCTCGGCGGCTTCATCAGCAGCGCTGAGAGGAGTGGTCTCGCTCTTAGTCTCGGTCCAAGCAGTGTCCTCTTCAGCGTGGATTTGAGAGGCCTCAGCAGCCTTCTCTTCCTCAGCCTTGACCCGGGCAGCCTCCTCTTCCTTAGCCTTGATTCGAGCAGCCTCGGCAGCCTTCTCTTCCTCAGCCTTCACCCGGGCAGCCTCCTCTTCTTCGGCCTTCACCCGGGCAGCCTCCTCCTCTTCGGCCTTGATTCGAGCAGCCTCGGCAGCAGCCTCTTCCTCAGCCTTGATTCGAGCAGCCTCCTCTTCCTCAGCCTTGATTCGAGCAGCCTCAGCAGCAGCCTCTTCCTCAGCCTTCACCCGGGCAGCCTCCTCCTCTTCGGCCTTCACCCGGGCAGCCTCCTCTTCTTCGGCCTTGATTCGAGCAGCCTCGGCAGCAGCCTCTTCTTCGGCCTTGACCCGGGCAGCCTCCTCTTCTTCGGCCTTCACCCGGGCAGCCTCCTCTTCTTCGGCCTTGATTCGAGCAGCCTCAGCAGCAGCCTCTTCCTTGGCCTTGACCCGGGCAGCCTCCTCTTCTTCGGCCTTGATTCGAGCAGCCTCAGCAGCAGCCTCTTCCTCCGCCTTCACCCGGGCAGCCTCCTCTTCTTCGGCCTTGACCCGGGCAGCCTCCTCCTCTTCGGCCTTCACCCGGGCAGCCTCCTCTTCTTCGGCCTTGATTCGAGCAGCCTCAGCAGCAGCCATGATTCGAGCAGCCTCAGCC